TTTCGGTCTCGTACAGGAGGTCATCGTCAGAGACTGTGAGAATGCGGCATCACATGAGCAGTTTTTATAGTCAAGCCATGAAGGGCGAGGGTATATAAGTGCAGAGGATGGTATTCACGATAACTTAAGTCCCACGCAGTCTCACGGCGGCGTGACTGCGTGCACCCTTGGTTGGAAATTGGGTCTCGCCTCTTGGCCGCGTGAACGGAGCGCGTGATAGCAGGGGGGGGGGGGTATGTCGACGTGTCTGTTGATAGAGTTGGTGCCAGACACCCAGGCCTACAACAGTTCTCGCCCTGTCCTACTGCTGTCCCGTGCCACTATCCGCGTGCCCGCGAAGTTGTATTCGTGGCGACCGAAAACAACGGGTCCCCTCTCCGGACCGCCCGTTTATGCTCCGTTATTCGCGAGCTAAGTCGTCGTCCGGTTTGTCCTGTGTAGTGGCGAGGCAGTCCCGAAATGGTATCTGATAAATAACACCCGATTGTTCTCCCACGTCTAGTTGATCCTTCACTCGCTTGATTTTGTTGCGCATGACCGCTGTTAAACGATGAGCGATACTCACGCCGAGCTCTCCAGCAATACGCTCCATCACTTCAGACACGTTCTTTATGTATGTTAGAGGGTGCCAGAGTGTTTGCGGCTCTCCTCCGTTCGTTCGCCATGGGTGCGTGCGGTGGCAGAGGCTGACGAAGCTGTTCGGTTATCCATTCCTTGTCAGTTAGTCCCGAAGATGCCGAAGTTCTGGTACTCATCCATCTGGCTCACTGCAGTGCGTTTTTAGCCTTTGAAAGAGTTTCCTAACATGGTAGTTGAGAATCTGAGTCGGGTTCTTCGCCTTTCTGTACACCGTGGTGTTGAGTTCGCCGTTGGGTGTGTGTGTGTGTGACGAGAACGTCAAGGAAAGACAGCTGTTCGGCATGCTCTTCTTCCTTTGTGAACTGAATGTCCGGGAAGATGCCGTTAAGCAGGTCTTGAAAGTCGGCCAGTCTGCTCCTTTCAATTATAATGAACGTGTCCTCCACCTGACGGCGCCAAAATGCAGGTTTCTAGTGGTCGAAGGCGAGTTTTTTCCAGCTCCTGCAAGACTAGTTCTGCAACCAGGCTGGATATTGGCAAACCCATCGGTGTTCCTTTGATCTGCTGGTATGTTCTGCCCTTGAAGGTGAAAAAGGTTTGTTGGCAGAAAGCAAAGAGTTGCAGTAAGTGTTCGATTTGCAGGCGTCTGTCCGTTTCGTCGAAGTTCTCTTCGAGTCGTTTGCGAAGAACGTCGCGTGCCAGGTCCGGTGGAATGGGTGTGAATAGTGAAACCACGTCAAAGGACACCATAATCTGATCAGGTCGGACAACTTTTCCTCGGACGTCGGCTAGGAATTGGGAGGCCGAATTGATGGAGGTCCTCGAGCCTTCTCGGGCCATCTACTACAACTGCAATTCATATTCCTATGACGCATGTTAGATTGCGTGAAACATTTAACTAACAACAAAAACAACAACAACAATGACCGTCGGCATGCTTAGGTTCCAACGACGGGGACATATCCATAAACAATCCAACACCCGTGCCGGCCGGTCATTCATCCCAGTCGTAAAACGGCCTTAATACACAATAGATGTGTAAACTCGTGAAATGTTAACCAAGATTCAGAAATGCGTTTATGACTCGAAAATATCGCTTAAGTAGGGTTGCAATAATAATCACCGTACAGCATAATCCCATTACAATTCCGTTACTTTAGGAGGCCGGCTTTTGAATGAATATATTTCCGGACACCTGAAGAGGACACCTGAAGAAAATGTACTCAGCAAAAAAAGACCACTTATTTAGCATGATTTCTTTTTCAATGATTTTCGACACCCTTATCAATTCAAATATATCTCATGGAAAACATGCATAAAAATATTCCTTCTTTGACTCATTTGGAGATAAATTACGTCAAATTTAAATTTTGTGGTGAAAGAAAGGTATAATTTGGTATCTAAAACTCTTAAAATTTCAAAATGGCGTAACACTTGCATTCACAATTTCCAAACTAAAAGTTGTATAGTTTCTGTGTACGGGGAATCTTAAAGTTCTATATGCTACCACCAGAAGATTGTATGGGGTTCATAAAATTTATCAGTGGATTTGAGCCGTATTTTAAACTTTACTAGCAATACCAGTAAATGCAGAGATACGAGGCTTTACGAACAAGTGTTTCACGGTCTTGAAGAATCTTATGATAAAAACTATGTTGAAACCGAATTATGCGATTCCTTCAAGCACAAAATTTAAGTAAGACCTAATATACTTCCACATGAGTAAAATAATGAATATTTTTATGTATGCTTTCAATGAGGCATATTTGAATTTATAAGGGCATCGGAAGTCAATACGAAGAATGCATGGTATTTGAGTTGTCATTTTTTTGCCCAGTGTAGTTTTGTAGGCGGCCTGTAAGAGGTTCGTTCAAAAGCCAGCATCCTGAAGTAACTGAATTATAACAGGATTATTTTGCACAGTGGTTAATATTACAACTACATTTGAGTAATATGTTCAAGTCAAAGACGCATTTCTGAATTTCGGTTAACGTTTCATGAGTTAGCACATCTACTGTCTGCTTGCCTTTTCAGGTCCTTTGTACTATCTGTTTTTCGTATTTTATAATATCGCAATTTTTTAAAATAAAATCTTATTATCCAGAAAAATCCTATCCGGCTTATATTTCCGATGTTATGTGACAAATGGGATAGGAGTGCGAGAGGGGAATAAAGGGTAAAATTTAATTAGGAATAAGGGGAAGGCAGTTCGCTTTTAAAATGAAATAAGAATTTTTCTGAGTCGATTCTATACAGAGCCTATGCGCAGATTCTAATCCCAGAAAGTGTGACAACATCTACGTAGATTTTGCGTAAAATGTTCTTAGCCGCTGATTAGATTCTACGTAGATTTTAATAAGAATTGTTATCAGGTATTTTTTCGCGGAGAGGTCGGAGAAAAATTTGAAAATTTTTGGACTTTTCTCTCCAGTTTCTAAAAAATGCCAATATTTTTCTGTCGAAAATGTAATGCTATGCTCTTTTCTTTAGGTTGAATTCATTTTCACTATCATTGATTACTTGCGGGCGGCGATCTACAGTTACGCTTGCGCGGCAAAGTGGTCATATTAATAATATTATCTTGCTGAAGCTGTTAATCTTCTCACGCGCGCGCACCCTACTGCCTCTAGGAGCGCGCATGTGGTTTTCCTGGCCATTTTTATGGTAGATATTTGTATGACGGTTGCTGTTTTCAAGAATGGTCAATCGTAACTACAAAGAATGGTGAGTTAAAACACGCTATCTTGTTTTCCATAATTTGGTCTTCTTACACATATATTTAGTATAATAATGGACGACGAACATGCATTAATTGGAATATCAGTAAGTCACTTTTGTTCGATTTTCTTTCCAACTCGTCTCCCAACCAATCAGAATGGTGGAATCCAATCCTCTGACTTGCTTACCCGGCGAGGCCCAATAAATACGGTCGAGATCTAACCACGGAAGAACCTAGAGGCCCCAACTCCGACCTCCGTTCCTTTTACGCTTTTGTGTCGTCAAAACGAAACTCTCCTGCCTCAGTCGTTGTAGATTACAAAGTCTAGGAGGTCTTGTATGCGGGTTAACCTTAAGGAATTGGCTGTTTTTTTACTAATTAACTTCACCTTTTTCCTTTTGGCGATCCATCGGCCCAGAAGGGCTCATTGCAAATTAATGGGCGCGCTAGGCTTCGGGGTTTGGTTTGAACTGGGTGTGGTGGATGTGTCAGGCGTGTTAGTTGTATCGAGACTGGGGTGAATTCCGCTCGCGTGAATACGCATGTGACCGAATAGGTCCACGCGGCGAGTGAGTGTACGGGGTCAGTGGAGGCGGATGCAGCGAATGTAGGTTGGTGTTCCAGGCACTGGTTCGCCAGTCTCTGTGTGATGGATTCTCAAGTAACCTGACGTTTCCGATTCTCACTTGAGTCCATCATCAGAGACCGTCGCAGATAAGAGCGATGTTGGCACGTGGCTGCCGAGGAACCATACGCGTACTGCAATTAAAAGCTCTCGCTATCACCGATGGGGTCGTAATTGATGCGATGATGGCTTGTCAGTCGGCGTCCGAGTCGTTAGTGGACGCGATTTCTTCATCCGTGTTGGATGCTTGTGTAACGATTGCTCGGCAAATTTGCGCACTGTCATTGGGATAGTTGATCGAACACGCCCTCCCCACGTGACTAATTCCCTTACCCAGGGAAAATCTCATCACGGAATACGGTAACGGGAGGTCAATGTGCTTGTTGATGGATTGCAGGCCTGAGAACCATGACTCGAGCAGCTCGCGGCTCACGCGGTTGTCACCCCTTGCGAGAATTTCAGCTTCTTGAAACTTGAAAATATGGCCGGGTCCCATCGAATGAGTCGCCACCTGAGAGTTAGCGTCTCCCCGCCTCACTGCCGCTGCGGGCCCGGCCATTCGCATACGGAGTAATGTCCCAAATTCACCGACCTAGTTGCTTTGTCCGCAACTGCACCAGATCCGGTAAACGACTCCTGACGTTTCCTACCGTGGAAGTGCGTCTTTCGGCCTCATGACTTGGCGCCTAATGGCTGCTTCCGGCCTGTGTGCAACCCCAACTCCATGTGGAGTGAGAAGACGACTGACGGCTTCAGGACGTTTTACACGTACGGAAGAGACCTCCAAAATTTGGGGTCGATTGGATCTGGTCTTTGGTGTCGTCTTCGTATGCACTTGTAGACAAAGTTGTGCGGATAGCCGTTGGCTCTCAGTACCCGTCTTAGATATAGTAATTCAGCAATCTTGTCTTCCATTTCACTGCGGTGCGTCTCAACGCATCGGTATAGCGCCCTCACGTAAGTGAGCTTGTGACTGATCAGATGGTTGCTGTTGAAGTGTAGTATTTGCGTCGTACTTGTCGCTTTCCTGACCACTGTGGTTTTTTAGCCACCACAATATTTACGGCGGACAAGTACATGCAGGAAGGCCAGCTGGCTGTTTTATTTTTCCTCCACCGTAAATTGAATGTGCGAGAAGACGGTGTTGAGATGCTCTTTGAATGTCAACACCTGATCCTGTTCGATAGCTACGAAGGTATCACCCACGTGTCGAGCCCAGAACTTCGGTCTGTGGTGTCGGAAAACCTGCTGCTCCAACCGCTGTAGGGCAGCCTCGGCTATTAGTACCGAAATCAGCTAACTCGTTGGCGTGCCCTTCACATGCTCGTAGATTGCTCCGTCGAACGTAAGGTAGGTCTTGGGATAGAACTTCAGGATTTGGATGATTTGGGCTTGTCCGAGACGATTCCCCGTTTTGTCATATTTCTATCGTAGGAGTAGTTCGATTGTCACGACTGCCAGGTCCCGTAGGACAGAAGTAAAATCGGAAGTGATATCAAAGGAAACCATGATGTCGCTTGGCAGGAGACTCCTTTAAGTTTCTCCAAGAATTGTGATGACGAGCTAGCTGACTGTGGTGCTCGAATTGGAGGTCAGAAACTTGAGAGGTCCAAACAGCCACTTTGCCAGTCCGTAGGTTGGATTCGCACGGGACATAGAACTGGCGATCTTACAACAAACATTTAACTTTCTGAATATGGCCTGCGGCGCGGGGTTTGCGGCAGGGGTGAGAGTGGGAGAAGAAATATTCATCTTCGAGATTCCGTCATCAGGTTTCATGAGCTATGTCACGTACTGTACATAGGTTAATTCAGAATGTTCTCTAAGAACCAGATAAATAGCAAATTATACTTGAAGGCTTTTTATACGCTCGCTGGTAAAATTTCGGCAGTTCTGAACTTGTTTGAATTGCGTTTGAATTAGTAGACTCGGAAATTCGGATATATTTTCAATGACAGCTAGCACCTGATCCTAACTGATTGTGGAAAATGTAGCACCCGAGTGGTCTGTTTTAAGTTAACACACAGGCAGAATCGATACATCGATTGAGGCAATGAGCGAGTTTGGGTCGACTTAGTCGGGGCGTGAACTCTGGCGACTTTCTGGACGTGTGTGCATGCGTTCGCGTTTACAGACGACGTAGGCATGTCTGTTGGTGGATTTCATTAGGTGGTGAGCAGGTGTGGTGGTCGACAGGCATGACCTGGCAGCAGCAGCAGCAGCAGCAGCAGCAGCAGCAGCAGCAGCAGCAGCAGCAGCAGCAGCAGCAGCAGCAGCAGCAGCAGCAGCAGCAGCAGCAGCAGCAGCAGCAGCAGCAGCAGCAGCAGCAGCAGCAGCAGCAGCAGCAGCAGCAGCAGCAGCAGCAGAGTCAGTCAAATTGACGCTGCCGTGCCAGCGCGGTTTAACGCGTAGAAGCACAGACGCCAGTTTGGAGGTTCACACAAAACCCAGCCATCTGTAACGCCAACTACTTCTTTCTGAGTTTTCTAGGCGGACGTTCCGAAAAGACCTGCATGTTACAGGCGGAAGTGTTTATTTGTTTGGTGACTCGCTCCTAACCGGCTCACAGTGTCAGACGCCCCTCCATTTATTCGCTGCATCCGCATTCACTGTACGTACAGTCCTTGCACATTCATACACCGCATGAGCCTATTGCATCACATGCGTGTCCAGAACGGCACCTTACGCACATCCCATCACATCCACCATCCTTCCCATTCCCAAACCAATCGACGTACTATCGACCAGGCCGCCCATCACCGGCAGTAACACAACGAAAACCGACACAACATCGACCAACCTTGGTCAATCGCGAATCCGTCGCGCAGAGATTGGTGAACCATTGCCAGGAGCACCAACATTCACCAGACGTGAGCGTCCCAGTCATCAGCATTGCCCTCGCACATTCAACTATCGCATGTGCTTTTTAGGTCACATGCGCGTCCATGAAAAACGGCGGTAGAACTCTGTCACCATACCGTTCCACAACATCTCTCCTCATCATTACCTACAACACACACGATTACACCCAACATCACACAATGCAAGCACGTACCTGGTATCTTTTAAGGAAGCAGGAAGCTCGCTCCTCGGGTCATTCTCCATGTGTCCTATTGGTGTGTGCGTGTTTGCAGCTCCTCTTTTGCATGTGTTTCGAGCATGGCTTGGAAGGTTACTAATTGACGAAGGAACTCAGGTTTCGCAGTCAGCTTATTGTGTGTTTTTGTCGAATGGCCCACTGTCGGACTGAGAGTCAGGCTGGAATGACTCCTTCTTGATGTGGCCCTTATGGCACTGCGTGGGATCCGAACCCCCCCCCTCTCCGCTTATGTACATTATGGAACTAGGGGCATGGTGGTACGCCTAGGCGCGGGTGTACGTCGTGTCAGCCACCTACGTCCTCTCCCGTCTACAGACTTTTTGAGTCTGTCTTGACATCGGGCCAGGGGGAGCGAGGTAGAGGGAACGGTGAGAAAGATGCTACGCAATTCCGCCGTCACTGCAAACTAATTAACGCGCAGGTCATCGTCCCTGCGTCCAGTCTGTTGCGGTGCCTATAGTGGACATTGTCCGAGTCGACGGTCAACTTGTCACATCTGAGTTTGGGAGAGTTGTGGCCTCCAATTTCTACGTTACTGTCCCCTCCACCTAGTCATTGACATGCGACTCATTTTCTCGCCTTCCAGCCACTAAAGGAACTATCTGATGACGAAGGAGTTCCTGTCAGGACATTGATATAGGATTAGAAGCTAGAGGTCGTCAGACCTGTGGCAGTCCGCGCCTTCTTGCTATCCGCTGCTTTGTTGTGTTGCCCTCCTGTCCGCCTCACAATCTCTGTGGATTCGCTGCTGGGACGCGCGAGGCTTGTCACTAGCCTCGCGAGGCCAATCAACGCCATCCCTTTTGTCACCGGATATATCATTTATTTGGCTGCAATCGAAACGACCACTCTACATCTGCTCGTACCACTAACATTCGAGACAGTTAGTTTGTCTGTACAGATCTGACGCTTTTCCGATTAATTGTTCCCTTTATGATACCTTTTCGAGTTTTTGAGATTTTGCAGTTGCATGTACACAAATAGGGAGTTCATAGTTGAGGACCTACATTTCCCTCAGTAAACTGAACTGAACTGATAGTCTGGCGGACATCGAGGCGGAACGAAAGGCAAACACACTCGCTGGGGTCTAGGTACCTCAACGGCGGAAACGACACAACGGGCCTGGAGAGACCGATCGCGGCGACTGCTGACTGAGCCTTTGTGCATCCACTTCCTCAGCAGTAGCAGTTGACCAACCCAATCCGTCATTCCTAACTTCTGATTTGGAAATCTCTGTCTTGTCGAGCATACCATCTCTACAGACATATTCGTGATGTATACTTAGAGGAATTCCTTCAGAGAGCGTCTCGTTGAGTCATGTACAAGAGAGATAGGTGGTAAAACACGATTTCCGATAAAGAATATTTCTAGATTTGAAAGAAATTCAGCCTACTCTTCGAATCAGATTTCGGATTTACCCGAAAGCGGATAACTTAACTGAGGCAGTCCCTTCTGCATTTGCTCGTTTCGGTAGTCATCATAAACGCGAAATTTAAGGCAAGTTTCATGGGTGATGCCTGCAACACAAATAAGCGTGGCGAAATTTTAGAAATGCGGCGCTCAAGTGGGTCTCCATGCATCAGATGGATAGGTAAGGCGCATTGCCCAAAGAATGCAGCAGTTATCTTCAAAGACAACCGAATAGAATCTGTCGAGGAAAAGACTCAAGAGCTACAGACCAATGACTCCAGCACCCAACCTCCGGTCATGGATAGATCGGGAAAGAACCAGTGAAATCTCAACACTACCAATCTGCCTCTTACCTCATAACACGCCAACACTGGCGACAACACTGAGGACCATTATACCATCCTGAATAGCAGTACTGACTATGCTCCCTCACCACCACCACCACCACCACCACCACCACC